AATAAATATACATATTTTTATTTAATAATAATATTTTTATTTAATAAATAATTATTTCTATTTATTTGGCTGTCTTCGTCTTACGTTTTCACCCACAACACGTCCCATTTCTCTTGAGGTACTGCAGAATTTGTTACAAAGTATTTGTAACAGAAAATTTGTTACCAAGTGACAGAAAGGAACAAAGAAAGCTGCAGAAGGGACAACACAGACACAGCACAAGGTTCCTGGGAAGGTAAGAAGAAAGAGAGAAACTACAGTTGCATCTACTACCCCAGCAGAAAGAAAGCAAGCAGCATGCAAGAGAATGTGAAGATACAAAATAGTATTTACTGAGAGTATTTCAGGAAGTAAAATCACAATAATCATCAAAGTCAGGGCAATTAAATGAGTTGAAATGCACAGAAAATGGTGTTGTAAAGGAAGTCATTGTGCTTTTATTGTAATAATTCTCTCCCTCACTTAGGAAAGCCTCAAAAATACTGAATTTCAAGTCCTATAATAAAGCATTACAGTAATAAAGGCAACTTAATGCTACTTGAGAAACAGTTTGAGTCTTTAACCAGAGTCCCGATTTGTGCTGATGTCCCAGCCCAGAAGCGTGCCCAGTACACACGCAGAAGCATAAAAACAGACTCCCAACTCCACGCACTAATACCCATATCTGCTCAAATGGTAATAGAGTTGGTAATTTTAAAAAAACAGCATTTTTAACCCAGGAAATATTACAGTCTTTTATGTTATGCCGCAATCAGGTGCTCCAAATAGAGACACTTCCAGGAGTAGCAAAGGCAGCAAGCCCGCTTGTGTCCTAAAAATCATCAACAGGGACTTTGGCTGCCGGGCTGCTGTCACAGTTCATTTTCTTTACATTACAAGAGCCATAACCATGCTGGTTCCAAAAAACTTCACTTAGCGAGATTTATTTCAGGGAGGAATGCTTCCTTTTGCTTCTTGTGTGCAATTTTTGGAATATTTCAGCTGCGTCTCAGGGAAAGTCTGTCCCTCTCTAAGTGAGTCTGTTCAATGTTGAGAGGTGTTGAGTTGTCGTAACACTGAGAAGGAGATAACTAGGGGTTTTTTTCCACATAATTACCTGTATTTGCACTCAGATGTGTTACTATAATAACATATTGGTTTTGCAGCGGCAGTCTCTCACCTCACCTAGCTGAGGGAACCAGGGGTTGTCTGAGGTGAGCCGAGGGGCCCACCCAGCTCCCCTCAGACAACCCCCGGCCCTCTTCAAGCCCC